GCTGCTGCTGCAGCAGCTGCTGCTGCTGCTGCTGCTGCTGCTGCTGCTGCAGGTTTCTGTACGACTGCATAACCCGGTGGACCCTGACGAGGCCTTCGCGGCGAAACGGGCATGTGCCCTTCAATCCAAAGCAGCAGCAGCGCAGCAGCGGCAGCACGCGGCCGCGGGGAGCAGCATGAGCTTTTTGCTGCAGCAAAAAGCTCAGGGGCAGCCTTAGCTTTTTGCTGCAGCAAAAAGCTCATGCAGCAAAAAGCTCAGGGGCAGCCTTAGCTATTTGCTGCAGTGACTCGAACTGTCTGTTTTGTTTTAGTTCTGCTTGTGTGGCCTCTTTGCTGCACTTCACACTACCGCTTCTGTTGCTGCTGTCGCTGCTGCTGCTGCTGCTGCTGTTGCTGTTGCTGCTCTTGCTGCGACGGGGGCTTCTGGGCACTGAGCCCCGCTCAGAAAGCTGAAGCCCCTAGGGTTTTCTGGGGTCCCTCGGGGTCACCTCAGGGGCAGCAGCAGCGAGCTGCAGCAACAACGTGCTGCAGCAGCAGCGTGCTGCAGCAGCAGCGAGCGCTGGCAGCAAAGCCCGCAGCAAAGTCAGAAAGGGCTTCAGAAGAAGCAGCAGAAAAAAATAGAGAAAAATGGCAGAAGTAGCAAAGAGCCCCATACAGAAAGGCATACAAACATGCTGCAGCAGCAGCCGAAGAAGCGCAGAAAGAAAATCCCAGCAGCAGTGGCGGCAGCGAAGCAGCAGCAGTAGCAGCAGCAGGAGCGACAGCAGCAGCAGCAGCAGCAGCATTGCAGCCAGGCATTTGTTTTCCTCTAAGCCTTCAGTGGCGTTTATGGTTTGGGCGGGGCTGCATGCAAACACCGTGGGAAGCTGAGGCATGCAGCTAGTCTTTTGACAGGCAAAATGCTGCTGCTGCTGCTGTTGCTGCTGCTGCTGCTGCAGCTTGCTAGCATTTGCTGCTGCAGCACCCTGCTAGCATTTGCTGCTGCAGCCAGCGGTTAGCACTTTGCGCAGCAGCGGCTTTCTGGCATTTTGTTCTTGAGCCAGCTGCCAGCATTTGCTGCTGCAGCAGCTTGCTAGGATTTGCCTGCTAGCGTTTGCTGCTGCAGCAGCCTGCGTTGCTGCTGCAGCTAGTCCTAATGTGCTGCTGCCCTAAACTCTACACTGCGTGTCGAACCAACGCAGCAGCAAGGCAAGCTTGCAGCTTATGTGAGGGGCCCCTGCGGCCCTTTGCGCAGCTGCTGCTGCAGGTCTTGCTGCTGCTGCTGCTGCTGCTGCTGCTGCTGCTGCTGCTGCTGGTGGGGGCTAGATGGGAAGCCAGGCCATCCAGTCGAGCTCGTCGTAGGGGTTGGGGGCGAAGGGGTTTGGGTCCCCGCAGTGGCTGGGGTGTATGTACACCACAAAGCTCTCTTTGGAAACCTCCAAAAGGCGAGTAAGTCCGAAGGCGGGGCCCCCCTGGGCCCTGAGCTGTACGTACACCCGGGGGGCCCTGGCGAAGCGGCTGCGCGGCAGCAGCACTGCAACAACGGGGCTGTGGGGTGCCACGGGGGCCCTTCCAGCAGCAACTTGGTGGCCCTTTAGCTGCGTCAGCTGCTGCGGCAGCAGGTCCAGCCAGAACATCAGGGGGGCCCCCGGCAGCTGCTGCTGCTGCCCCACAGACACCCGCTGCCCCGTCTTCTCTCCGAAGGGGGAAAACTGCTCCAAGCTCGCTGCAGCAGCAGCAGCAGCAGCAAGCCCCTGCTGCTGCTGCTGCTGCGCAGCCCCGAAGGCCCCAGCAGCAGCAGCAGCAGCAGCAGCAGGGGCTGGCAAGCTGCCAGCAAAGGGGGCGCGTCTGTGGGGAAAGATGTTGTCGAGGTACAGCAGCTGCACAAAGGTCCTTCGCTGCTGCTGCAGCAAAGCGAAGGCGAGGGGCCCCTGGGGGCCCCCCCCCTTCTCCGACTTGTAAGGATCTGCTGCCCCAGGGGCTGCCACTCGGGCCCTCCAAATTTTTCTGCTGCTGCCATCACTTATGGAGAAGCTGGAGGTCACCAGCAGCGCCACCTGTTCCTCAAGTCCTGGGATCGTCTTTTCCCCTTCTGGGATCGTCTTTTCCCCTTCTGGGATCGTCTTTTCCCCTTCTGGGATCGTCTTTTTTCCCCCTGGGATCGTCTTTTCCCCAGGCCCTGGGATCGCCTCCCAGCCCCCTGGGATCGTCTTTTCCCCCCCTGGGATCGTCTTCTCCCCCCCTGGGATCGTCTTCTCCCCCCCTGGGATCGTCGTCTCCAGCGCGCAGGGGCTGGTGAGTTTGTACCAAAAGCCAGTAGGGTCGAGGCCGCGAACTACGACGTAGGCAGGCAGGGGCAGGGGGCCCCCGGGGGCCCCCGAGGGGGCCCCCCGGGGGGCCCCCTGGGGGGGCCCCTGCAGCACTCCGGGCCTCTCCAGCAGCACAGGGAATTCATAGCGCTGCCACTGGGGAGTTGCTGTTAGTGTGTCTGTCCACAGCAGGTGGGTGGCTCTGCTGCGCTGCAGCTTGCGGCGCGTGGCTTCATCTAGCAAGCAGTCTACAGGCCCTACACCCAGCAGCAGCAGCAGCAGCAGCAGCAGCAGCGGCAGCAGCAGCAGCAGCAGCAGCGAGCGCCGCCGCCCGGCGCTAGAGCTGTTCATGGAGGTGTGCACGTGGCGTTTTCTAAGGAAGGCACATTTCTGTCTTCTCTCTTTAACTCAGTGCTTATTAGCTCTAATTGACTCTTTATTAATCTTTTGGGAGGCAGCAGCGGCGGCAGCTGCAGCAGCAGCAGCAGCAGCTGCTGCTGCTGCTGCCGCCGCCGCCGCTGCTGAAACAGAACTGGAAGCAAGGGCTGGCGGGCGCCACAGTCCCCCCCATCGGGACAGCGAGAGAGAGGGTTTAGTCTTTTTGATTATTTTTTAATTTTAAACTTCTTTTTAAATCCATAACTAACCAATTCGAGGGCTAGGGGCCCCTCGAGTTGCAGCGACAGGGTTCCCCCGGGGCCCCTCGCTGGCCCGTCGGCTGCCGTCGGGCGCAGCAGCAGCAGCAGCTGCTGCTGCTGCTGCCGCTGCTGCTGCCGTTGACCGTCGCATTGAGCTTAATTGGCTCATACATTATAAACTGCTAGAGCAGCAGCTGCTGCAGTTGCCGCTGCTGCTGCTGCTGCGAATGCTGCGGGCGCCCGGACAGGCGGGGGCCCCCGGATCGTCTCCCGGAGGCCTGGGGGGCCCCCCGCCCCCCACGGGCCCCTATTTGTTTCCCCGAGCCTTCTGAAATGTCTCTAGGAGAGTTTTTAGTCCCTGGGGCCCCCCCAGCGGCGGGCCACGAGGGGGGCCCCCCCGAGGGGGGGCCCCCCGAAGGGCCCCCGCCCTGGCAGTGGCCTGAGGCCGTGGCTTTCGCGCTGCAGCAGCAGCTGGGGCTGCCTGCTGCTGCGCTGCCCTGCAGCACTGCCACAGCCAGCAGCATTCCGCGTTCGCTGCGCTTCATCCAGAAGCTTGTTGCAGTGCTGCTGGAGTGCGACTCGCGGGGGGGGGCCCCTGCGCAGGGGGGCCCCCCTGCAGGGGCCCCCCCCCCGGGGGGCCCCCCGGGGGGCCCCCCGGGGGGCCCCCCAATGCCCCCTTTACTCACCCCAAGGCTGCGGGCTGTTCTTAAGGACTGCAGCAGCTGCCTCAGAGACGCAGACAGCGGCCTCTGGCTGCGGCTGCAGCAGCTGGAGGCGGAGGACCCCCCCAGTTCTCACCAGCTGCTGGCGCTTCTTTCGGACATCACCACCAAGTAAACCCTAAACCCTAAACCCTAAACCCTAAACCCTAAACCCTACGCCCTACGCGCTGGCTTTGGACGCAGCCGAAGCCGCAAAACCCTCAGCTGCCGCTCCACCCGTTGCAGCGCGAAAGGCCGTCTCGCGCCAGCGCCGGGGCCTGGGGCCCCGGACTAGGGTTTAGGGTTTAGGGTTTAGGGTTTAGGGTTTAGGGTTTAGGGTTTAGGGTTTGCTGCAGGATCAAGGCGCTGGCCCCCGGGTGCGCGGCGTTTTTGCCGGGAGGAGTTCGGCTGGACGAGGAGTTGGCTCCGGTGCACTTTCTGTACGTGGTGTACAGACACCCGGACGACAGCAGCAGCAGCAGCAGCAGCAGCGCAGCAGCAGAGGCTGCAGCAGCAGCAGCAGGGGCCCTGGGCGGCGGCACGGGGGAGTACATGGAGGGCCAAATGCAAAGGGCCCGGAGGTTTACAGTGGCTCTCATAAACCCTTCGGGTTTTGGCCACGAGTTCCACGCCTTCGCAGTCGAGAAGTGTCCTTCTCCGGGTGACTGAGGGTTTAGGGTTTAGGGTTTAGGGTTTGGGGTTTGGGGTTTGGGGCTGCGCGGCTTCGTGCGGGGTTCTCGCGGGCGCTTCGCAGCGCCGGGGCGGCCGCTGCTGCAGCGCAGCAGCAGCAGCAGCAGCAGCAGCAGCGGGCGGCTCGTGCGCGGGCTGAGGGTTTAGGGTTTAGGGTTTAGGGTTTAGGGTTTGGTGCTGCAGGCCGCGTGCTGCGGGACGCGCTGCTGGTCTTCGAAGACTCCGTAGCTGAGCATTTGCTGCACATTTCTTTTTGGTTTTTCTCTTTGCGTTTGCTGCTGCGGGCTGGCCGCACCAACTTGCACTGTCTGTACACCGCAGTGCTGCCCCACATCAACCGCAAGCCTTTGCTGCACAACTGGCTGCTCGAGTTTGCTGCTGGGGCCCCCCCGAGTCCGCGGGGAGTGGGCCCTTTGCTGCGCAAGTCTGCTGCTGCTGCTGCTGCTGCTGCAGCAGCAGCGGCGGACGGCTCCGCCAGGCCCCGCGGCCTCGTCAGCCTTGCTGCTGCGCCGGGCACGCAGCAGCAGCAGCAGCAGCAGCAGCAGCAGCAGCTGGTCTCCAGGCCACTTGCTGCAGGCAGGCCCTCCACCCTCGGAGGCTTCTGGCAGCCGTCGCCTTCCCCGAGAGAGCCGGGCAGCGCTGTTGCTGCAGCAGAGGCTGCGCTGCACTTCCTGCTGCGGTGAG